TTTTTAATTTGCTAAGAAACATACCACTTAGACCTGGAGTTCAGTAATGATAGTTAAATAGAAATATATACTATCAGTAATGGTAGTACATTTTAAAGATACTCGTGTATATTTGTTTCATATTTTTTCATATCAGTCTTAACAAAAATGTGACACAAGAAATACTTTTGTGTATACTTAAAACATCTAAATATACAACCTTTGATTTTTTAAAGAATATGTTTTAGTATACTTTATAAAAATTGCCATTACTGTTAGAATATTGCTGAGAGGCTTATAAGATAGTAGAAATAAAGAAACATATACGATTATATTTTTTCATATTTTCTTGTAAGTCCTTATAAAAATGTTGCATACCAAATACTTTTTAAGATACTATATAATATTATTTATGTATACGTATTTGGTGAACAATAACTTAACATACAACCTCTGATTTTTTAAAAAAATATTATAATATGTAATATGGCTAAGGGGCTTATAATAATCGGATTGAAATAATAATTTATTTACAACTTTATTATCTTTTGCCATCATATCTGCCATTCCTACTTGATCCTTATCAACTGAAACCCAACACAAGCTGAGTTCTCCAACCCCATCAGCACACTTAAGTACTATTTATAGATTTCCTCAGATGACTGCTGTTTTTTTTGCCGTCACTCACGCCGAATAGGATTCGTTATTTGGGAACAATGTGGCGTATGCGTGATATTTGGCTGTCTATCTTTTCACATACGCTAAATAAGCGCACTTGTTTGTTTGTTTGTCCGAATGGGTGAGCCTTCCTCACTTGTTTGTTGTAAATTTCATTTAGATGTGCAATTAAATTTTAATTAGCCTGCCTCTTCTATTTCCATTCACGCAAGTGCCACAAGAGGGGAATTAGAGGAAGCGCTTCACAGAGAGTAGAGCCGATGTGTATTCCTAGTTAAATATCGAAATACCTTTAATTGGGGAAAGTTCATTTCGGGGCTTTCGTGCTATTATACCCTTGATGTGTGCGCTTTAATTTGTTTTCGTCGACTGTTTGTTCCGCTTTCGAAAGCATTTTCTGTGCTCTGTGGTATTTGGTATTCGGTAGTTTGCCACCCCGGGCCATCATCTCTGTGGAACAACCTTTGGCTGGTAGCTATTCCCATTTAACTGTAATCAATTAATTCATTATTATTCGTATTCTGCTTTCGAAAAACCTGCCACTTTGCTTTATTGCATGTTGAAGTAGTTTTTCATTATTGGCTCTACCTTGTTGCACACAGTAGAAGGGGGGGATCATTGAGTTCACCAGGGAGGGTCTGGGGATGGGGCTTCCAGGGGCAAATGCACAAACTTGTCGGCAAGTTTTCCAAGGTAATTCACAGGCAACTTGGCTCTGCTTCTTTTATTTATCCCCCACTTCCTTGCCGTTCAATTTCAGTTTGGCTGAAGGCCTCTGGGGTAACATTCCAAACAAGATAGCTGAAGCAGAACAACTGAGGCGAAATCTTTTAGCCTTTAAAGGAGCCCTGCCGACGTGCTTCCTTTTGGCTCTGTGGATGGTAACAGACTTGTAACGATCGCTCTGGATAGTCAGATAAATATAATTGAAATGCTAGTCAAATAACACTTGTTTTTAGGCACTTAATGCACTCTGATTTTTTATATTTCTATTAGAACTATGGATATTTGACATAAATTATGAGTGAAATAATATTTTCAAAGGCTTAATATTGATAGCAATTAAATTACTTTATTTTTCAGGCGTTAAAGATAACGTTATATATAAAAATAATAATATAAAGATAATAAATATTTGGTTATTTTCTGTTTTCTCTTTGAGCAAAGTCGGGAGCCTATATGCGGGCATAGAGAATAGCACTGTTCGCTCTCTGCCGCAACACTTACAGTGCACAACAAAGGTAGATAGACTGCCCTGTGCAAATTTCACAAAGAAATTAAATACAAAATATCATGGTATTGTGCATTTAAGGTACACTTTCTTTTTATAGCGATTTAAACTGTTTTCCGAAGGAGAAAGCTGTTCAATAACATTGTGTACAAACCCGTACTCAACCGTGAGTTATTTCGATAACAATAAACAGGTGATGACGCTGTGGCCAATCCGAAGCCCTAACCGACAAGTGTCCTGCATTGAAAAGCCCTGTCCTTCGATCTGAACAGAAAGCAGGGGAAAAACAACTTGTACCGATTGTCGGGGGCTCAAACGGAAAAACTATATTCCTGCACACGTCGAATGTTGCTTTTATTGTCGCTGCCATTTTCATTACATTAACCGTTTGCCAAAGCATTCAACTTGCCAGCTCCCCACTGTTTTTTTCGCCACCCACCGCAATGCGCATCGTTTACCTGCTTTTTCTGTTTGTTTGTATTATTATGCCAGTTACTGCTGTTATTTTATTTTTTCCTCCTTTTTCCGCTGCCTTTGCAACTGTTTTACTGCGTCGTTTGTTGATTTTCCAGTTTTGTGATGCTGCCACTGATGCGACAACCCCCTGTGAGCCCGCTAATCCACTCACCTGCCCAGGTGAACGGGGCAAGAGTTTAACGCTTTTGTCGTTAAAAACAACACAAGAATCATCGGCGACTAAAGCGAAAACAAGGGCCTTGGCCATTGTTGGAGAGTTGGCTTAACTTTATATAACTTAGAGCTTCCTCGCCGATCGTAACTTCCGGTTCAATCGAGAACCCCCTCGAAGAACAATCACCCGCATCAATCAATGGGCATATGATAGCCCCATCCTCGGAAGAAATCCAGACACTTCGAACCCCTGCATCTCATCGCTGACCCCGCTCAACTTGGACAGGTCAGAGTGTTTTTATAAAGCCATAAAATATACACAAACTAACTTAAAGGTCGGGCTCCACGCACTTGCACACGTTTTATTTTCGCCACGGGGGAAGTTGGTTTTGGGTATTAAGGGCGGGAATGGGTTAAAAAGTGGGATGGACCTTAGTCTGGGACCTTAGACTGTCAACGGCCTGCTTGGGCAACCTTTTTAAACAACTACAGACAGAGAAGTGGTTGAGAAGTATATTGAAAAGCAATATTCATCCAGATAAGATCAACAGATCTGTATCCCAATTTAAAAATATATCTATGAGATCTAATTGGGAAACATATCTTTTTATCTTATCTGAATAAATATTGCTTTTCTATGAAGTTCTCAACACTTTTTTGTTCAAAACTGATGGATAAAATACAACCCTGGATAAAAGCCAACTCATTTTTAGAATATATTGCCATCTCTTAAGTGGTGGTCTCGATTTCATGTTAACTTTTGTCATTGAGTTAAATTGCTTTAGCTTTGGCATTGATGACATTGAGAAATTGGCCGTATGTATAAGCCTAGTCATATATTATTTAAAAAAATGTAATATCTATATGGTAGATGATAAATTAATATCTGATTATTGTAATAAAATCTTCGTAGTATATAGGACCTTTTGGAAATTCAAAATCAAGGACCATAACATAGTATACCATTTTTTAGGAACCCTTCAACCCACTCTCGCTATCCTAGCTTTTTGAGTTGTTGTTCGTGTCCTGTTTTTCCATCGGTTAAGGGGTCCTGCTTATGTTTGGTTTATGTTTTTTTGCGGGCCCATTCTCAGTTTCGGACTTGGGCTTGCTCCGAAAGATTTATGTGCGTAAATTTCATGCTGACGGCATCAGGTGATTTAACACTTTAGATAACTTGGAACAGTTTATAGTCGGAGGAGAAGAAATGTCGAGGACGCTCGGGTGAGCTCTGGGGATGGGTGAAAAGTTGTATTTTTATTATTTTATTTTATTGCGCTTACATCTTTAAATAAGTTTGCTTTGGCCGCCCTCTTATTGGGTGTGTATTGGGGTCCTTTGTTCGGAGATCTGCCCTTCGGAATTGATGCGTCTTTTGGGGTCATAAAAATTACAAAAAATTTCGCTTGCCTTTTTGGGCTGATTGCTGTGTGCGATTGAGCATCGTTGGTTCTTTTTTTTGGACCTCGTCCCATTTCCCAGGTCCCCTGGCGTATTTTTTCGTCCTTTCCTGCTGGTTTTTCTGTCGTCCCTTTGTTTGTTGTTGTCCAGATAGGATATAAATTATATTGAGCGCTTTGAATTAGTTTTTTATGTGCCACACATGTAGTGAAAATGAAATTAGATACGTGTTGGGTACAAGTTAATTTGAAGGCACAGATTTTCCCCAATCCAGCTTTAGAAGGGAAAAACAACTTTTCCTTGATTTGTCTTCGATTGATAACTGCAGGGGTGGGGCTCAAGCAGGGGTTGCTCATCCGGGGGATATTTAAAGAGTTTACTTTAGTCGCACAATGCTCAACAATTGCCAACTCCACTGGGGAAAGTTCGCCCTGCAATCGCTGCAGCGCCACCAACAATGGCAAGCAATTACCAAAATACAAAAAATACAAAAAGTACGGAAAATACAAAAATACTACAAAAATGGAACCAGAAAAAACCGAACCAAATACAAAAAATAAAAGGGGGAGATTGCGAAAATTCAACTCCAACACGAAAAGGGCAAGCGCGAGAAAGGAAACGCAAAAAAGCGAGAATAACATGGAATTGTTAAGGAACTGCAAACTGCAAATCCATTAAACCACAACAAGAACAAGATGGAGGAGGACGAGGATGCGGATGAGGATGAGCAGGACCCAGCAGAACCCAGCAGAACCGAGTAGAACTCCGAACTACTGTAGGTATTGAATCGAAATGGGGAATGTTCCGACACAATTGACTGAAAATTGTTTGTTAAATGTACAGCGCGTTGAGCGTTGAGCACCACGAAAGACATTTGTAAATGTATTTTTCGGGATTAGCCGATACGGTTTAAATTAAATTATCATAAGGATTTGCAAGGAAATGGAAAAGCTTATTGATGCTTTTATGCGAATGTTCTTCCAGTATAACAGAACAACGTTTTGTTACGGTAAGTTTATTAGAGTCCCTTAACTCGATCAGTTTCACTTTCACATTAAGTTCATTTTAGTTCTATGCGTAACCTCAATAGATCAACATGAGGTTATTTATCATTCTTCTTTATGGTAAGTTATATAATCACTAATTGGTTTTATAAGTAAATCTAGTTTCTGATTAGCTGCTGTAACTCTGGCTAATAAGCTTGCTATAAAATGCATTAAAAATTGCCCACCAGACGAGTACGAAGTGTCGTGTTCCTGGGATAGAGTTTGTTATTTTGAAGCAGAAACCGATTGTATTCTTGAGATGGAGACCTGTTTGCGTAAAGCTTACAATCAGCCACGTGAGTACCATGCCTATTTACTTTTATATTACAACATGTAAATGTCTTAATAGGTTTTGTTAAAAAGAGAGAGGGATATTGCATAAGAAAGCACTATCCAAAGAAAGCAGTACCTTGTGAACCTATGGAACCAACTATAACTCTGCCGAATGACATTGGACATATGAATGTTTGGAATCCGAACTTATTCGCCACAACAGGTGATGATGATGATATATAATCGATTGATACCCAGAAAACCGTTCTTTAGTTTATTTGGCAGCTTTTAATAAACTCAGAAAAATGAAAATATAAAAGATTTTCTTGACATATATATACATTGCTATTTTATAAGATTACGAGTTTTTAAGTCAATCGAATCGATCGGTCATACCTAAATGGCTTCAACTTTTCTGTTAGTGTGATACCAGATCTCAATCGTTCAAAATGCGGCTATTCCTAATTCTTCTTCTTGGTAAGACCTAAATACTTTGAGTATTTTTCAGCCTACGTTAATTTCTGATTAGTTTCTGTAACTCTGGGTAATAAGAAAGCCTTACGCTGCCTCAAAGATTGCCCAATAGATGTCTTTGACGTATCGTGTTCCTTTGACAAATTCTGTTACTTTGAAGCAGAAAACCAATGCCATGTTGATATTGAGAAATGCCTGAGAAGGGCGTATAATAAACCAGGTGAGTATGGTACGTCAGACTGTTATATTTCAATAAAACGAATTTGTGACAGCTTTTCTTAAAAAGAAGACAGGATATTGCTTAAAGCAGAACTATCCAAGGAGAGCGAAACCTTGCATTCCAATGGTTTCATCCAGTGTACTACCAGTAAAACATGATTTTGACCAGAGGTACAATCAAAACTTGTTCGCTACGGGTCTGTGATTATTGTACTAATTGGTTCACGACCAAAATAATTTAGATATGGTAAATAAAGTAGACTTATTAAGATCGTTATGCCTTGAAAATGCATAGGGCCCTAACAAATTTCGTCTTCAAAAATGTTAAAAAGAAATCAGTTCCAAGTACCTGCTTCGGAAATGAGGTTATTAATTATTTCCTTACTGGGTAAGCCCTAGATATTGACTTGCCAGATTTCTTTACATTCATACTTTGCAAAGATCAGCTTTTATGTTAGTCGGTTTTGGATGGGGTAAGAATTGCAAAAAGACTTGCGGACCTTGCATCTTGCCCACCTGCAACTTTGATGGAAAGTGCTACTTCGAGGGATCCAGCGCTTGTGTCCTGGAAAACGAAAAGTGCCGACGAAAGATGAAAAAACTTCCACGTAAGTTTAGTTTGTTAAAAATAAAAAATATATTAATACCAATAAAATAACAAATATAAATATTTTTAGAATTTATAAAAACAGAATCGGGATTCTGCGAGGAAGGTGTTAAGAAGTGCAAATATTAAAACGAAATGATTTACATTTTTATGATATCCTAATTTACCCGTGAATTAAAATGCTACCAAAAATACGCAGCAAACTATTATATTTTCAAAAGAAAATACTCAAGGCTATTGAAAATAAAAATTAAATAACCTTTCCTCCTAAACAAAACAAAATTGCTACGAAATGCAATAATCTACTGCCGCAGCTTAAAGTCCAATTGCTCCCCAGTTTGACCAGTGAAAACCACAAGAAGACAAAGATGAGGTAGACTCAGATCCCCCACCCGAAACCGAGACCCTCAAAAGAGCAAGCCCAACCGAAGCGAACCGAGCCACCCAACTATGAAAAATTTAAACTTTGCATCCAAGCCATTTATTCATCCTGCTTGGCATCTGCCATCATATCTTAGCATGCGGTTCTGCCGTCGACCCCCTTTCTGCATCTTAAAGACCCCGACGCCCATCTATATCTCAAACCATCTCCGGGCTCCTTGGTTTTCGAGCAGGAGCTGTAGCAGTGGGCAATGGGGTGCACCTTAAAAATTAATTGAAACATCACTACCGGCTAATATTGTATATTAAAAACAGCCAAAGGAGATGTTTTTTGGGGAGGAAAACCGAAATGGGGCATATAAAACTTTTGGGGTTAGCTGAGTGCTCTAAACTGCCAGGAACTTGCAAATTGCCAGTGTGCGTGGCCATTTATCAGTCTTAGTTTTGGGTTAGTCCTATGAAAAGAATGTTCCACAATAAATTCGAAGAACAAATTTGGTTGCTACTGGAGTTTATTAGCCGGCAGCCGGTATTTTGTGGTCAAAGGGCAACCTGAACTTGAATCCGGCCGCCCTCCCTCGACCTCTCCATTGTGCATCCATCTTCGTCTTTCGGCCCCCCATCAAATCACTGTCCAGTCTAGAATTTCTTTGAATACTCCGCCTGCAAAGAAAGGCATTGCCAGATGGTAAATTAATTCCGGCTCAGGCACCACGCATGCTCAGATACTCCGGTAGTCGGTAATCTTCGGCTTTTTAGACTCTCTCCAGCGACGGTTCGTTCCATCTGGTTTCGGGTGCTTGGGGTCTTCGGATTTTGGGTCTGTTGCGCCTAGGACAACAATTTCCGTATTGCAAGTTGGTCGGCACTCGGGTGATCTAAAACGAAGCGAGTGTCGAGGTCGCCAAACGTGCCATAAAATGCGCATAATGTGGCACGGATGTGCCAGTGCACGTTGGTTATTTGGCGCGTGAGCATCGAGTGGAAGTATCGCTGGCGTTCTAGGGGTGGCAGTTCGTATTATGATGTTGCTGGTGTAGCGGCAACATCTCGAAGATAGCCGGTCCAGCTGAAAATCGCGAAATGGTGACCACAAATAGATAGGCTTTACGGGCCGACAGAGAAATATTATACCAGAGATCGATCGGTTAAGATTTCAGAAAGTGCGGTTGCTATGATGCAAAAGTAATCAAGCGGTGATTGCAAAGTGAAGTGATCAGTAATCAAAACTCAAGTGGCTAGAGAGAGGAGGAAAAAAGTGACTTAGGCACATGCAACAACTGGATACGGATACGCTTTTCAAGCCCTGAACAGCCGCCGACCCACGAACCCACCCACAAGTCAAGTACGTAACAGATTGATGAGGCAGTCCCCATCGTATCCACATCTTGAGGCAACCACCCACTTAGCCACCCATTCAGGCCAACCGCCCACCAGCCACTTGACTAAAAGTTCAATTTCCTGCAAGATGCTTTAATTGAAGCGCACAGTAAACAAGAAACAGAAAGCAGAGTACAGAAAACAGAAAACAGAGGGGCAAGGGTCACTCGTCGCCCGGGGTGCCTTCGCTCTGGTCAGTCATTAGTCATTTGCTCATTTCCGCAAACGCAGCCCGGATGTGCAGCACTTGTCAGCCAATAAACAACCTCGGCGGGGGCGGTGGGTGGTGTGTGGCGTAAGATGGGCGTTTGAACGCCCCCCAACCCCACTTCCAATTAAATGTGGCAAACATATCAGCGTCAATCACCGATTCTGATGGGAGGTCAGTGCATCCAGCTGCCTTGATCGGATGGGGCATCCCGGGCATCTCTCTGGCTATTTGCATTGCCCTTCAAGGACTTTAGGGAACATTCGATTGGATTTGGTTTGGTTTTTCATTGGGCACTAGAGTAATGCTAAGATTCTTGGGAGCTGTTAAAAATTGATCAGCTTTTGAACCCCAGAAGCCAAGTCTATTTATCTACAAATTTGCTTAACCAAACATTAATCAGTTGCATTTGACTACATTTGCTGCAGGGAAACTAAAATATTTATGCAAATGCAAGCATTTTCAACTTTGCAAAAGCCTTGATAAATATTATCGTAAATCTCTTTAAGCAATAATAATAATAAGCAATAAATATTAAATGATGTTCATCAAGTAGATGATTATGCTATAAATATTTTAATTGAGGTTTAGAATGATAAGTTTTGCACAATTTGAAGTGTTTTTTCTCGAAGATATAGTTTTATTGAACTAATTTTTAATTCTAGCTTATAGTCTAGGAACTTTTTTTAATGTTAACCTTATGAGTAAGGTGTTTGGTTGTAAAATTAGGAAACATTATTTTGAACAAAACAACTGCTGAATTATTTTTATAAATTCTAAAATCAATTGCATAGTTCAGTTGTGGAAATAAAAAAGAAAATTCACAACAAAACTGTTTCGAAAACCGATTGTGGTACAATAAGTATTATTTTAGAAGTCCACTCCATCCGATTCCATCCGATTCTTTGGTCTTCAAGACGTTGCCAAGGAAAAGTGGAACGGAGCAGAGAAATCTGGGGAACGAGTCTTGCTGGAGTGGGTGTTGTGGCACGAGGAGTGGCGACTGCATATGTGTCACCCATTGAGTTCCTTGGACAACAATAACCAAGACGGACAGGAGCAGGGCGCATCGTTCAGAAAGAGCAAAAACAGTGCATAGGTGCTAAAAAAAAGAAACAACGAAAATCAACAATGACACGGAGGTGGGGCAAGATGGGGAGAAGTACCCAGGCTAACCCAGTTTTTTTCGACGCTGGTTCTTCACGGCTCAGTTTTGTTTTGGGCCTCTTTTTTTCCTGCCTGCTGCTTGGTATATTTTTCTTTTTATGGCTTTTACGGACTGCCCGCAAAACGACTGCGACGAGCCTCACTGACAGCAGAAGAAACAAAAATATTTCGACCAAAAACTGCCAGACTTGGCCCAATCCCACCCACTAGGACCATCCAACATCCATCCCCTTTGATGGAACCTGCTTTGTAATTGTTGTGTTTTTATTCCGTGTATGCGTGTTGTTGCGGATTTCTTGGCTTTCCAAGCGTTTCTGGGCCCTGGCTTCTTGCCTGGGCCATTGTCACGTAAATCTGTGACAGAAATTAGCCTCGTTGACAAAAATATGCCTGCTTACACATTATTTGTACAAACAAATAGACGGGCAACAGTTAATGGCAGTGTAGAGTGTCGTCCTCGAGGTGCCTCTGGGTTCTATGGGTTCTATGAGTTCTGGGGGCTCTAAGGGGGTGTTGTACATAGAATAGGTCTGGGTGAAATTTGCATGGGAACTGCGCCAGTTGCCGCTGTTGTTTCTTGGGCTCTTTTGGCTGGATTCCTTTGCTAGTTTTGCGGCCGACGTCCCGGCTTTTCTTCTTCGTCTTGTTTTATTGATCTGTTTATGCTTTAGGACTTCTGTCCTCTGACCCCTGGCCACCCCACCAACCTCTGGCCGACCCTCATCATAGACAAACAAAAAAAGTTTTATTTGTGGACTAATAAAAATGCAAAAAAAAAGGAATGTTAGAGATGCGGGGACCGCAAATGTGTTTTTTCGGGCCAAAGTTGTGCCTAGGTTAATGACCAGACAGGCGTGAAAGCAATCATAAACAGGGTCCACCCCATCCACCCACCCACAGTTCGCACTCAGAGTTAATTTACCTTGACCGTGGGCCTCGGACGTTGATAGAAAGTTTACTCTGGTTTTTAATCAACTCATTATGAACCCCCGGCTCATAGAACACACAACGTACATATCATGCTGTCGATTAAATTATTTGGAAGCCTTACGGCCTTGCCGGCTGATTGATTGACTGATCGACTTTCAGTGTGATTTTTTCCAATAAAATGTAATGAGCTTAATAAATAAAATAAGCGCTCAAAGCAACAAACACGGTGTTATTTATTTAATTTCTTAATCTGAATTGGATTTCCGGCAATTAGGTATTCACAGCTTTTAATAAATAGTCTTGATTGTCCTATGAAACATAACTACTGTTTAAAAAAAGGATTAACAATTGCCAGAAATAAAGCAATGAAAAATAACCCGTCATAAGCCAAAAAGTTCAAGTTGAAAGTCAAACCACTGACAATTTCCTGACGTCTACAATTTCCAATACAGCCCAGACCCCTAATTACTAGGACCTAACCTTAGGCACACACAAAATACAAAGTCAATCTATCATGCTATGGGTGTATTCCTGATTAACACGAAACTTTGGCCAGGCCGTGCAACAAAATGATTGATGTCCACTACAAAATTTTCAATGTATCGCCCTGCTCGGCCAGACCCCCCCTTTTACCCATAATATTGCGTTCTATTTAAGCCACAATCCCGATTTTCCTAGGGACCACCCTAAACCTTGTCTACATACATAAACTGTTTATCGAACCATTCGGTTTTATGTCACAGCAACTGATTGATTTTTAATTAAACGTCCACGATTTCACTGATTGACGCTAATCATACGCTTGATGGGCTTAAGCCCCGCCACGCCCCCACTTAAAGGGCCACTAAAAAACAGAGAGCATTTACCACTTTAATTCGTACACAATGTATGAACACACATATGACGGAAATTAGATATTTATTGGGGGAGGCGTTGTCAGCCAGACCAATTTAAAAGGTATTGGCACAAAGCGAAGGGCATTGAAATGGGGAGCGCGTGGAAATCGAATATTATCCAGATAGTGCCGAAGATCCATTTACGTGACTCGGAAATGCAAATAAAAAAGTGGAAAAAACCGCTTTTCGTTTTTTTCTCCTTTATATTTTTTTATTGAATTGCAAACGGAGGGTAGTAGGGAAATGCGGATCCAGGGACAGGCCGACATAAATAAACCTCAACTAAGTCG